CCCCCCCCGCCCGCACCTGCTGCACCGGCGGTAGTTCCACCACTGAGGGGAACAGATGACACTTCCCTTGCTTTAGATAATTTGGAAATTGGTTAATTACTGGTCACAAGTGCTGTTATAAGAGAGAGGGAAGAGCCTAATGAGCAATGTGCAGGTTTCACATTTTTAGAAAGGAAAACTGGCACAGAAATTAACAGGCGCACTTAAAATGATGAATTTTTACTCATCAGTACAAGTGAGAATATTTGCATGTGCCTACCACACCATAATTAACATTATGGGGGTGATTTACTAACCTAAACACACGCACGCACCAGGTGCGTGTGATTTTCACACAGCAAAACGTATTTATCAACCAAAAAGTCTCTAAAAGCATATTTCCACTAATGCCATATATGGAAAAATCATGCATATGATGCATATATAATGCTGCTTCACAGTTTAGACAAAAATGGTTAGCTCATGCATTTACATTCCTGCATTCATCAACGCAAGCAACACAACATAGAGCTAATTTACACAACATCACCTTGCAATTCATGCAGGGCTTTGCACAACACACCTGCTGGGTGTGTACACACTACAAAGGTGTCTAGATTCCACCAATAGATCATGCTGGGAGGGAACACACTACAGAGGTGTATACTTGTTCGTGGCGTGTTTATAAGGTTAGTAAATCAACCCCTATAACTCCTACAATGGGTTGAAGTGATCCAGACTTGGTACAAAAATGCCTGAAGTAGAAACAGTGTTCCAATACAAGTAATTTGTGGTGCCTACGACTACCTGTGTTATTACTTAAATCAATCTCCTTGCTTCTGTGTGATCTCTTGGATTTTGGTGCAGGTAAGGTTGCCACCTTTTCTATTAAAAAAAAAAAAAATCAGCCTTATAATCTCTTTCCTATATAAAATTGAGAAAGTCCCTTTTCTGGACAAAATATTAGCCACGGGGCAATCCTAGTTCCAGGCTACTTACTGGGTCTTGACTTTTCTTCCTATCAAGATTAAGCACAGCCCACTACTGGCAGTTAACCCACCCCTTGTCATTCAACTGCCGAATGCCAGAATCTATACAGCCAACAAAGCCACTGGAGTTTAAATGTTATTGACAGAGAGTGGGGCTTAATGTTAGTTGCCGTAGGGCTAACACACACAAAGTGAGATGTCAAGGCCCTGTGCAATGGGTTGGGTGGTGAGAAAGTGTTGGAAAAGTATGTACAGCCTCAATATGGTATCTCCTCTGAAGCTTAAGGCATGTTTACTGAAGGCTCAGAAGATAGTACTAAAAAAGTAACAGAAAATTAAATTGAATGACCATGAGTACCAGCCTTTCACTGTGATTTGTGGCATTGGAACAGTTGAAATCATCTGCAAAGGTCTGGTAATATAGCATTTTAATGCTTGCTTGCTATCCACCTATACAAAGTTAATTCAAACACATCACAGTTATGAAATTTGTGATATTCGCAATGCCAAATACAATGTAAATTATTGTATAACATGAAATTCAGTTGTTGCGACTCAGAACTGTTTATTGAAAAATGTGTGCAGCCAGTGGCATCACACGGGGGGGGGGTTTTTTTTCCCACCGGGTGAACCCTCACAGCACACCGGATGATGTTGATGTGAATTTGTGATTAAAAAAGGTATTTTGGGGTACCTGCAAGTAACATTAAGCCGCACTCTCTGTCAATGAACATTTACATTCCAGAGTCTTAGTGGGCTAAATGGACATTTGGCAGTAGAATAGAAGTGCATGGGGCTTAATCTTGAATTAAATCTATTAATCTGAATTTAGGAGAAATTAAGAACCAGTGAGTAGTTTGGAACCAGGGTTCACCCATGGCTGATAATTTACGTGCCTGGCTAGTACAAATGGAACTTGATCTCAATTGTTAATAGAAGTTACAATTGTTTTCCCAAAAAAGGTGGTGACTTCCCCTGTACCTATAATCCAAAAGATTGCAAAGAAGAATTGATTTCAGGATTAATACAGGTCAGTGGCGAAGCTAAGGAACAAAGGGCCTGGTGCAAGATTTTTTCTTGGGCCACCCTTCCCCACTCCAAAGGGGGGTGCCCGGGAGCAGATCTCACTGGCCCCCAACCCCCATCGGCGGTCTCTGCACCAAAGGAGCTTACACTCTAATATCCCCTCACAGTCACACACTATTATTATACATTTATATAGCTCTGACATATACCGCAGTGCTGTATAAAGAACACTGAGCCAGTCACATCAGTCTCTGTACAGAGGAGTTTACACCCTAATGCCCCCAATTGTCACACACTATTATTTTTATACAATTATATAGCTCTGACATATATCTACAGAGAACACTGAGCCAGTCACATCAGTCTCTGTACAGAGGAGCTTACACTCTAATGCAAAATGGCACCGGCTGTAGAGGGACTACAAATCCCAGCACTTAACTGGACTTCCCAGGCCCTGCTACCTGCTTGCCCACTCTGTCTCCTCAGTAGGTGCAGCCTGTTCATCCCATGCACTGGTAAGACCCCCCTCTGCAGAGCCTGCACTGTGCGGGAGCTGGGAGGACAGCAGTAGCTGTGAAGGGAAAAGCTGTTGCAGAAAATGACAGCCCTGGGGCCTCTGTGCTGCCTGGCGAACCGTCTGCCACCGCAGGGCATCAGAGAGGCCCCCTGACTAACTCCACCCCTGTCAGTGAGCCCCCCCCACCTTGGGCCCCAGGGCAGCCACACTGCTGGTAGGTCCGTCTATGATACAGATTCTTGCAGACTTAACAAAGTACTTGTATTGGAGCACCATTTTAAACAATTGTTGTGCCCAGTCAGGATCACTTCACTCACTGTAGAAGTTATAATGTTATTTATTGTATGGTAGACAAATGAAAATAACGTGACTTGCACTGATGAGTAAAAATTCATAATTTAAATTTAAAGTGGACCTAATAAAAAATACATACAGTATATAATGCACTCTTTTCTAGATTTTAGCAATATGAATAAAAGCTGAAGCAGAGCCAGCAGTGTACCTTTCACTGTCACTGCTTGGTATAAAGGTGGAGAACAATATAAATAAAGGTTTGCAATATAAAAAAGAATTCCATACACTGATTAATATCAATACAGGTATTAACTACAAAAAGTAACTGAAATTCAATATGTTTTGCTATAGTATTCTCAGTAGACTTAAATGACTGTTTTCTGGTAATTTTATTCAATACAATTGTCAGTATCTTTATCTTTATAAATACAAGGGATGGGGTAAAATGTTTTTATAATTGACACTTGAATACACAAAGAGGGTTATTCACACAGCTGCCAAAGGCAGCTGAGTGAATAACCCAGCCGAAGTGAAGTGAGCCGAACACTGTTCAGCTATTCACTTCTGGCTTGAACGGCTGATTTTAGCCGTACATCAGCTAAAATCAGCCAAACATCGGCTGCACTTTGCAGATCATGTTCGGCTGAGCCAAAGTGCAGCAGGACTTCGACTCAGCCGATCCAACATCTCATAAGGGCCAAACGGCAGTGAGTGAATAGCCGAGCGGCATTCGGCTCAGCTATTCTGTTCGTTACCTCTGTGGTACCGAGCAGAATAGAAAATAAGTACAAAGGATGTGAAAAAAAATTTGCTAAATAATTTTAAAAAATGATAAGAAATAGAAGATTAAAAAAAATAATGTGACAGCTAGCTCCCCTCAAATGTTTCCTATTGGCCGGTCCCAGGCCAATTAAAAGAAACTGGGCGGAGCCGGCCGGGACGTCACGGCTGGCTCCATTCAGTTGTTATTGTTTAATGACAGATGACTGGCTCAGCCCAGCTGCCATTTGCTGTGATTTGTGGGGAGAGCCTTCGGCTGGCCGTTCGCCCCCCTTCGGCTGTCACTTCGGCTCAGTCGAGCTGAAGCATACGCCTTTGGCTCGGCTGAGCCGCTCAGCTGCCTTCGGCTGCTGTATGAGCTATTGTGAATAGCCCGTACAACACCTCTTCGGTTCGACTGAACCGAAGGGCTCCAGCAGCCCAAGAGAGCTGAAGGATCAGCCGAAGCTACAACTGTATCCTTCAGCTCAATAGTGAATAACCCCCTAAGCCCATACTGTAATTCTAAAAGTAAAAATGTTCTAGGTTTTCATTGTCCTATTTCACAGAAAAATATCCTTTGTAGTTTAAATTTTTTTTTTAAAAAGCCATGTCATGTTGGAAGGAGACTGTAGATCAACAGCAATTTTCAAATCTTGCCACAGGTTCTCAACTTGTTTGAGGTCTGTACACTGATTTAGATATTCTAA